CAAACATTTCCAACGGTCCAATAATTATAGGGGGAGACTATAATACTGTAATCAATCCATCATTTGACAGGTCAAAACATACAGGTAAATCTCCGCAATCCTCCAAAACAATAAAGCAGTTCATGAGTGATTTTGGTCTTTGCGATGGTTGGAGGCTACAACACCCACTCGCCAGAGAATACACCTTTTATTCTAACGTTCACCAAACCTACTCCCGCATTGATTTCTTTCTAGCCAGTAATTCAATCATACCAAATATTTTAGAAACCAAAATACATCCGATCACTATCAGTGACCACTCCCCGGTAACTCTCACATGGAACCCATCTGCAATACAGAAGCACCCCACCAGATGGCGTTTTAATATATCACTATTGAAAGATCCAGAATTTGACAGTTACTTCAAAAGAGAGTGGACATCCTTCCTTGAAATAAATGACTCTCCAAAGTTGTCAGCATCACTGCTCTGGGAAACATGGAAAGTAGTTTTACGGGGGAAAATTATATCATATTCAGTACATAAAAAGAAAAAGGACAGAGAAAAAGAAGCACAACTGGAAGAAAGAATAAAAGAACTCGAAATTTTACACGCAAATAATCAATCAGAAAGCATCTATAAAGAAATTAGAGAAAACAAATTTTTGCTCAATGAAATAATAAACAAAAGAAACCAATTTCTGATTCACAGGCTCCGTCAAGAAACTTTTCACCATAGCAATAAATCCGGAAAATATTTAGCCAGTCAAATTAAAAGAAATAAAGAAAAAACAGCTATAACCTCCATCAGAAACTCGGCAGGGAAGCTAACCAATTCACCAGTTGAGATAAACAGGACATTTCAAGATTACTATACTAAATTATACTCATCCGATCTTGATCCGAACCAAGAAGACATAACCCAATTCCTCGATAACATCATTCTACCAAAACTCAACATGGAACAAATAAACACACTAGAATTACCAATCACAGAAAAAGAACTTCACTCCGCACTGAAAAGCATGCAAAATAATAAAGCACCAGGTCCAGATGGCTTCCCTGCTGAGTTTTACGAACATTTTTGGTCAACCTTATACCCACTATTTAGCAGAACAATAACAGAAATAAAACACAATGCAAAGTTCCCTCCCCACATGAATACAGCACTTATATCACTCATTCCTAAACCTAACAAAGACCATACCTTCACATCTAACTATCGCCCTATCTCACTCATAAATGTCGACATAAAAATTATTAGCAAAGCATTAGCCCATAGAATTGAACAAATTATACCATATATAATCCATCCTGATCAGACTGGCTTCATAAAAGGTAGACATGCATCTAATAACACCCGCAGATTATACAATTTAATGCATTACTCATCAACACAACAGAAAGATACTCTCATTGCCACATTAGACGCCGAAAAAGCTTTTGACAGGGTCAACTGGAAATTTTTATTCACCACGTTACAAAAATTCGGCTTTGGAGAGTCATTTATTAACTGGATCAAGATTTTATACACATCACCATCGGCCACAGTCACAACGAATGGACTAACATCACAAAGCTTCGCACTGCATAGGGGAACGAGGCAGGGATGTCCACTCTCTCCATCCCTATTTACCATTTTTATTGAACCTTTAGCAGCAGCTATCCGTCAAAACCCAGCAATCAAAGGTATTGAAACACCACAACAAATACATAAAATCTCACTCTATGCAGATGATATCCTACTATATATACAAGAACCCCTAACATCTACTCAAGAAATAATCAAAACAATCCAGTCCTTCTCAAAAATATCCGATTATGCAATAAACTGGAATAAATCCTCCATCCTCCCTTTACATAAAACCAAATGGGATGTGGCACCCCATCAATCACCAATACCTATTTGTCAGGATCACATCACTTACTTAGGCATTAAGATTTCCTCCAGACTGTCAGAGTTGGTAACACTCAACTTCACACCACTACTAAAAAAAATAGAAGACGATTTGCTCAGGTGGCTCAACCTCCCAATCTCCATAATCGGCAGGATAGCAGCAATAAAAATGACGATTCTACCAAAAATTAACTACCTATTCTCAATGATTCCAACCCACCCCACACTCACCTGGTTTAAATCACTAGACTCCATTATAACTCACTTCTACTGGAAAAATAAAACGCCAAGGATAAAACTCACTACACTACAAAAGAGTAAGGTTCAAGGAGGACTAGAAGCACCAAATTTCCAATATTACTCAATGGCTAACCAACTGCAATACATATACAAATGGATTCACCCCACCCAATCTGATATTATATGGCTAGATATAGAACAATCACTATGCAAAGAATTAAATATAGCTGACATACCGTTCCTCACCAAATCAATTAAACAACACACATGTTTTAATGCAGTAACTATAGCCTCCACTCTGACAGCCTGGTGGAAATTTCACCAAATCACAAACTCTACATTAGCTCCATCTAACCTCACTCCACTATGGAACAACCGTGATTTTATAAGCAATAAAAAAACATTAAATTTTCACACATGGGCGGAAAGGGGTATCACCCACATTAAGCATATTTTCAAAGCCAACACATTTAAACCATTTCCACAACTGGCACAGGAGTATGGCATCGGGAACAACGAATTTTTAAAATACCTACAAATCAAATCTTCTGTCCTGGCAAAAATAAACATCAGAGATACAAATTTAGAACTTCCACCGGCAATATCAGACATGGTCAACATTTCCTCTCCAAAAAAACTGCTCTCTAAAATATACAAAATTATCTCAAATCAACTTCAGACTATATACTTACCAACAATAAAATGGGAAAATGATCTTTCAATAGCCACTGATGCCAACTTCTGGACCCAAATCTGTAAAAATGTCTATCTCATGTCCAAAAATGCGAATCTTCAGTTAATACAATACAAAATACTCCACAGAACACATTACACAGGCAATAGATTAGCTAAAATGGGTTTCACATCAGAAGTTTGCACACATTGCAATCAAAATTCTACAGACACATACATCCATGCAACCTGGCACTGCACTCCAATCAAACACTTTTGGGAAGAGATCACACAATCACTATCCACTATAGTTGGCTGCCACATCCCATTGTCGCCTTCCCTTTGCTTGCTGGGGGACCTTACAATAATCACTGATAAAACTATAAACTCTAAAATACTCCTCATAGCGCTAACCATCGCCAAGAAAACTATCCTCATGAACTGGAAAACCAGAAATAAATTACACATTAACATTTGGAAAAATCTTATTACAGACTTCATTGCAATGGAACTCGCATCTCCTCTTCATAATTACACATCGGAAACTGACCTCTACCGTCCAACACTTTCTGACCTCTTACAGCTATGAATCCCTTCTCTGTTCTTAACTCAGACTATAACCAACCCACGAATATTTGTGCATTTTAGTTGTTCGAACTTGTTTTTGTCATCATTGTTATTGCTATCTTTACTGTCACTGTTATGATTACTATTTTCACTTTTATTTAATTTTTTGTTGTTTCATTGTTGTAATTGCTGTTGTTGCTGTCTTTTGCTCTCACCGTTGTGATCACCACTGCCATCATCATTGTCATTCATTATTATTATTATTACTACTATTATTATTATTATTATTATTATTATCATCATCAATATTGCCGTTGTCAATGCTGTAGAATTAGAATGTATAACTAGAATTAAGCGCCATTTGCAATAACTTCCCCCTTATCTCTTCATGGGTTTTTAATGCACCACAACATAGAAAAGGAAAAAAAAAAAAAAAAAAAAAAAAAAAAAAAAAAAAAAAAAAAAAAAATCAGTATATTTGGATAAACATCGCAAACACCAAGGCAGGCAAGACAGGCGAGAAGTAGTTTCAACGGGACAGCATCTCTGGCCCAATTTGAGACATTCTCGCACTGTACTCCCTCTTTTAATGCACTTTAGACATTGCACATAACACACACACACAAAAAAAGAAAAAGATAGAAAAGATAGGGACTGATGAGATGTGGGGGAAGGTTGTCTTATATTATATTATATTATTATATTATCATATTTTGTACAGGATTGACAATGGCAATTGTTACATAGGAGGAAGGATGGAAATAAAAATCTACAAAAACAATATGGGCAGTATGGTGGTAGTGGGGAGTGATGGTAATGACAATGGTAATAAATTATAAATGGTTACTTTGTGTACACACGCATACACATACCCACGCTCATACACGCTCACTTACACACTTAGATCAAACACTTAATCACTCTTGCCACTGCTGGAATTATGGACTTACAAGATTGCTCACTACTGCACTATGTTGGTTTGTTTGTATGTATGTCTGACTGTTAAATAAAAAAAAAAAAAAAAAAAAAAAAAAAAAAAAAAAAAAAAGTAGCATTACAGTATTTCTTTCCATAAAAAGTGACTAAGTAGCACAATTAGTTACTAATTGGCCGATATTAGGCATTTTCCAAACTATCGGTATCAGAAGTTATAATTGCCGATAAATGAATATTTCAAAAATAAAATAAAAACGGACGAAACACGCTTCAACCATGTCATGTTGGTTTGTCCACCAGAGGGCACTGTTGGCAACACTCGTTTATAACGCGCAACACATTCTAGCTAACCAAAAAGCTAGCTAATGCCACTATCATCAGTGGAATTTAATGAGCTTTGTTAATTAATTCATGAGCTTTGGTTGCGACAATAAAAGAAACAAGTTTCTTTTTAAAATGTATTATCATATTATTTTAATTAAAACTCATACATAACTACAAATAACTAATGTTAGGGAAATCTGTTAATGTTTTGTTGTGCGTTCCTGGAAAAAATTAAATAAAAAATATCGGCCGATATATCGGATTTTACAAAATATTTGTATCGGTATAGACCTTCAAAATCGATTACAACTAGACACAAACACAGACAAGCAAAGTGATATAAACGGAAAAGTTACTAGGTTGGTTTTTGGTCTTGGTTCTGTGTCAGTGTATAGGTCAAAATAAAGAGCTGTGTGAACTGCGTGAGGAGATGCAGCGCTGGCAGCAGGAGACCCAGGAGCAGAAGGAGGTGCAGGACCTTAAGAGAGAATTGCAAAACACACAGATTCTCCTGCAGATGCACAGAGATAACCTGGAGAGGCAGACAGACACCGAGGACGAGGTGAGGCAGCACAGCCGACTTCAGTTTCACTATATCCCAACTTCTGTTTGTAAATATAAGTGTTTGTGTGTGTCAGGCCTCCTGCAGGGAAGCAGCTCTCCACAGTCAGGATGCAGAGATGGTTCAGCTGAAAGCAGATCTACTGGAGGCTGAGAAACTGGCCACAGATGCTGAGGCTCGACTACAACCTCTTAGTGAATCCCTCGAGTTCTGCAAACACAAGTACCAGGCCTGCCTCACCAAGATCGCCCAACTAGAGAACACCCTGTTTAGCCGAGAGGAGGACCTGAAAGAGGCCCACAATCAGGTTGGTACTTAATGTTACCTTTAGAATTAAGTCTGCTTTGCAACTAGTGATGCACAGTATATTGATATTGACTCAGTCATTACCATCCAGCGTACACTTCCGTTCATTTAGAGTTCATTTTTTTAGAAATTAATTTTTTTTTTTCCACAATAAATCTATCAAAAATAACGGTAAAGAATGTCACTGTAAGTTTAAGGTTACTAAAGATTTCAAATGAATGCCGATCTTTCTAATCATCAAAATATCCTAAAAAAAAGTATCACAGTTTCCAAACAAAATGTTTGTTCCTCTTATTCATTTAAAGACTTTTGTCGACCTTCGACTTGTGTGTGTGTCACTAGTGACTGCAGAAAATCAGCATATTAGATTTCTGAAGGATCTTGTGACTAAAGACTGGAGACATTTGCTATTACAGGAATAAATTCCTTTTTGAAATATATCTAAATGCAAAACAATTATTTTAAATAGTGATAATACTTCATATAATACTATTTTTATTGTATTGGTAGTGCATAACCACATAAAGAAAAACATCAAATTACTGTACATCATCAGTCTGTTTCATTGGACTGTACTTGCAAACAGGGCCTAAAATTAACACTCGCCGTGTAAAAATTTGCATTGGCAATAGTACATAAAATGCTGTCACTTATAGTTAGCCGGTAACATTTTTATGAATTCAAACGATGCATGAATGTGAAAAACGCTGGGGACAGTTTATCGTCATGAAAGTTTAAGTCTTGAAAATGTAAATATTCAAGTGCAAAAAGACACGAAAGGGAGCACATTATTTGCATATACTTATTATTACTTATTATATTTATGTCGTCTCGTGCTTGAGTGGACAAATTAACACAAAATTAAATAAAAAAAATTGTATTCTAGTCGGTTATGTCTTAAACAGTCATAAACATAAACAGTTGAGAAAGTAAACGCATGTGAATCAGTATATTAGATCTGTGCTTTCGCTCTTAAAGTGACAGCAGCCTAATAATCCTGCTGCTTTCTGTTTTTAATCAAATAACAAAAGACAAAAAAATCACTCACTGATCTTGACTGAATAACTTTTATAATTTTAATTAGGATTAATAAGAGTGTATTAGAGTGTGTTATTTTACATTTGCTTACTTACATTACTTACATTAAATTTCTTTACCTGAAAATTACTGTTAGACCAACCTGAAAAGCACTGCTTATTTCATTTGTATATTAGTTATATTGTATTTATTTATTTATTTTGTTTGTAATTTTACCATTTGTTCTTATTTTATTAATGACTCTTTACTTGTATTTAATAATGTATTTAATTTATATTAGTTAGGCTAGTAGTTTTAGCTGTGGTCTTGAAATTGGAATAGAGAATTGTCAATCTTCGCTGGTGTCTAAGATTACAGCCTGTTTTTACAAAAATATTTTCATGGCCGGTACATTTTCTTAAGTCACCAGCAATTGGCAGGTGTGGCAAAAAAAATAAATAAAAAAATTGTTTTAGGCCTTGCTTGCAAATATTAGCATTACTATTAATACAGGTTTAATATTGGAGTCAACAAAGACCAAAGACTTGATTTTTTAAAAATCTAGCTTTCTGCAACATTTTTGAGCTACAAGCTAGAGGCTGTATAATGAATGACTGAAGCTACGTCCACACTATTGCGTTTTCGTTTAAAAACATAGAATTAAAACGAATACGATCTCCGTCCACACCAGCGTTTTATCTGCTTAGTAGAATTGATCTCCATCCACATTAATTCCCTGTTTACACGACAAATCTCGCAGGTGAAAACGTAAAATTCGTTTATACGCCGACTGTGTTTTTGGAGCTTAAAAACACAAACATTTGAAACCACCCTCCAGAGTCAATCTTAAAAACGCTCCTGTGTAAAGGCTAAAAACGCAAAAGTCTGCTTGACAGTGAAGGTTGTACGCAGGCGCGCGGACTCGGTGTTTTTGTGTGGCAGTGCTTCACATCGCCACCTAGCCATCTGGAGTGCATACTACATCGAATTTCACACACTTTTGCGTCACCACATGCACGCGGATTTCCCACCCAAAACACTCGTCTAAACGCAGAATAAAAAGTGATAACGCAACGCCACTTTTGCGTTTTCTCTTCAGAATCGTTTCGTTGTAAACATAGCCTAAAACGACTGAAAACGTGGATCACGTGACGTGACCATTCACCAACACTGGGCATGCGAGAGCCGGTGTAAACGGTGGCTGACGAATCAGGGAAGGACACGTCATGACTGATGACACCCAATCATAGAGCCGAGCGTCAGCCTCTGTGTCATCGTTTCCAAACTAAACATGGTTTCTAAAAAACCCTCTGGAGATTCAAAACGAACGGAGCGTTTCTAAACTTCTCCGTTTTAGGTCTTCGTTTTTTCCGTTTTAGTCTTTTAGGGTGCAAACGTAGCAAAAGGTCTCCGTTTTTAAAACGAAAACGCAGTAGTGTGGACGGGACCTGACAGCAGACATCAGTGCTGATAGTGATTTGTGTTTGTCTGTGTGGCTGACTGATTTGGTCTCCTCAGGTGGCCCAGAGGGAAGAGCAGGTCCTCCGTCTGAGAGCTCAGGTTGTAGCTCTGCAGGGGGATCTGCAGGTACACTGCGCCCAGCTGGAGAGCGGAGACGAGGCCCTTGCCACGCTGAGCCAGAAGCTCCGAGACACACTGGAAGAGCTGGAGCACAGGCGTAATCACACAGAAGAGTGTGAGCTGCTCATCCACACACTCAGAGACACAGCTGCTGGCCTTCGTCGACAGGTAGCCCAACCCTTTACTAACCCATAGCTAAACAGGTCTCTTCGCAGTGACCATGATTTTAAGTAAGATCAAACATCTTGGTCATTCCTGTCAAACAAATGTAGTCTTCTCTAATCCTAAGTATTATGAACCACTAAAATCAAAGAGAATGAACAGAATCTGACAAGTTGATAGCTGGGTCATTGATGAATGAGAACTTTCATGAAAACATCTTCATTATCAGTATTCTCAACACAAAACTAGGTCAACCTCATCATCAAAGTTTAGAAGATTATTAACATAGCAGTTATATAAAGGTCTGCAAAATTTTAAAGATCAAAGTTCACGACAAACTCTGAACTGCCAAAATGGGTCATCAGCCAATTGAGTGTCACTTCTTGACATCTTCCTCACATTTGCATAATGCCAGCCTGTGGTCTTCATCTTCTTTGACCCGCCCTCTAACACTAGTTCTAGCTGAGGCGTGAAAGTGTTTAGTTCGTGTTAACATGTCGAGAAGAGGCCTTCTGTGCTGCGAAAGCAAATCCACTTTGCATGCACTTCCAAATGATGAGGACTCGTGCTGACATTGATATTGTAAATCAGACCCCATCATTCCATACATCATTCGTATCACTGTGTATGAAGCACTGAGGAAGTCTCCAGAGTCGAAATTCAAGTTTCATTTCCAATACGCACAACCGGCACATCCGGGAACTTAACTGTCAATATTGTTCCCGCCCCCTTTTGGGGGAAACAAACTAGATTCCCCATAGACTTCAATACAAAATAACGGCAAAAACCAGCGTCCGTACACAGGCGTAAATAACTTAAGAAATTATTTATATAAAACATGTCAAGTAATTATATGTCCACCCTGCCTGCCATAGAGCGTGAAAGATTTTTATGCCCGTTATCAACTTGCCCAGGCTTTCTGCCATCATCATCATAAATTCATAATATATACATTAAGGTTTTTTACATTAAAAAATTAAATAAAATCATTCAGGGGCTAACCTGGTGACTCGATTAAGTACAAGTAAATGTCCGGGTAAGACACCTCTGGCCACTGGGTGGGGTTGTTACCCCAATTTGACGCTGGGAGAATAAAGGGACATGTTTTTAAATTGACCAAATTAAGTTTGTGTATGTATCTTTCACGCTCTGTGGACATATAATTACTTGACAAGTTTTATATAAGTGATTTCTTAAGTTATTTACGCCTGTCGGCTGTGTACGGACGTTGGTTTTTGCTGTTATTTTGTATTGAAGTCTATGGGGAGTCTACTTTGTTTTCCCCCAAAAGTGGGCGTGAACCTATTCAGAGACATTCTATGATGCAGCGCCGGTTGTGCGTATACATGCTGTAAGCAGTCGACCAATCACAACAGACTGGGCCATCTGACCAATCAGAGCAGAGTAGGCTCTCTGAAAAGAGGGGTTTAGAGAGACTGAATCCTTTATCAAACCGTTTCTGACACTGCGAGAAAAAGAGCTGATCCTGCAATGTATATTAGGAGAAAATTTTTTTTTTTGATGCATGTAGATCTATTGTAGGAGACCTCCAAAACAAAACTAGGAAACTTTAAATACGGCCTAGAAAGCACACGACGACGACACGTTCACGAACTATAACCGACAAGGACTGAACTGAACAGGAAGCATAAATGCACATAGTAATGAGGAACTAAACAGAAACCAACTAATTGAGAACTCATACAGACACAAATACAGCATCATTTTTCGTCATGATATATGGCCAGTTGCCCTGAAAAAAATATAGAAATGATTATTAATTCAGTAAATCAAAACATGCTCATAATAGAAGTGTTGTATTTAAGACATTTTATGTATGTATGAATAGCATTTTAATGTATTTTTGAATCAATGTTTAGATCCAAACAAATCTTTGAGCATCATGTCATTGACTAGGAATCCAAGAAACGTGTCCTACTTTGGCTAAATCACCATATTGTCACTCCTGTGAGCTATTAAATTGAGTGTCGTGGGTCCCAGAGAGATGCTGCAGATTTGCACTATGAATGCCCCATAACGCAACAGACTTAACACACTCATCTCCTCCCTAGAGTTGAATTCTGTTGGGTTTAGATTGCATATCGAGCCAAATGAAACCTAGTTACCACATGTACAGGTGGAAAGTGTCTTGTTAGTGCAGCTCGAGGTGTGAACACAATGGGGAAGAGAATCTACGCCACTCTACGGGTGCAAAAGCCAATCTGAGCTTCAGATACATTTGAGTGTTCTGACTGGATTGTATCGATCCAGGTCAGAACCCTCACGCTTCATGCTATGTGCGGAGAGAGCATTTTCAGGTGTTTCATTTCCCACAGTGTCAGCTGGAGAGCTGTGATAGGCTCTCTTGAGGAATTCTGGGAGTTGAAGTTGTTATTGATTTGTAGTTGTTGGGTGAAGATCGCGCGTGTGGCCCTTTCAGACAGCTCGGCTGGTGTCTAAATGGACCTGAAGTTGTTTTGATTTGCGTGTACATTGACTGGGAGGGGCGGCTGGTTGGCGTAAAGTGGAAAAGCATGCTGGGTCTGTGGTGTCTAGTCGAAATAATGGGCATTGCTCTCAGCAGGCCTTGTCTGCGGCCCAGCGGTGCAGTCACCTCTGTCGGATACAGTGCACACTAGGTGTGAGGATCTTCCTGCCCTACCTTCCTCTAGCACCTCCAGCATCTCCTCTCAGATGTCTATGATGCCCAGCGTCACATTAGCAATCCCTAAACATCACACTCATGCATGCTATATTGATCCAACTGTTTTCAGTCAGGACCTCAGAACACACGCGTCCTTCAGCCGTTCGCCCATGTCTCCTTCCTGTAAGCTTCCCTTAATTGCTCCCTTTACCCAGAACCTGCTGCGCACCGGCATTACAGCACATAACCTTCAACGGTGTGAGAAGGGAAGTCTACTTGATGTGATGTAAAACATCACTCTTTTTTCATCTTCAGTGGGAGCTAATACTCTTAAAGGAGAAGATCACCTCAGAATTTAAATGTCCTGATAATTTACTCACCCCCACGTCATCCAAGATGTTCATGTCTGTCTTTCTTCAGTCGAAAAGAAATTATGGTTTTTGAGGAAAACATTCCAGGATTTTTCTCCATATAATGGACTTCATTGGGTACCAGACGTTTCAAGGTCCAAATGAGAGTTTCAGTGCAGCTTTAAACGACATCAGACGATGAATAAGGGTTTTATCTAGCGAAACGATTGGTCATTTAAAAAATAAATTTAAAACAAAGTTTAAGTTTTATAAGCAAATGATCGCCTTGCTCTGTTCATCAAAATGAACAAATCTTTTTTTGAGTCATTTTGTTCGTTGAATGAACCAAATGACTCGAAAAAAGATTTGTTCATTCTTTTTGATAAACGAGTTCGAACAGGAGAGTCACGAACGTGCATCACAGAACAGAGCAAGGCGACCATTTGTGCTTATAAAACTTAAACTTTTTTATTTATTTTTGAAATGACAGATTTCAAAGATCCTAAAAAAGATCCTTATTTATTGTTTTTGAGGAAAACATTACAAGATTTTTCTCTATATAGTGGACTTCAATTGGGAACCAACGGGTTGATGTAGCTTCAAAGAGCTCTACATGATGTATACTTTTAAACCACAAGTGCTCTTACACTCAATGTAAGATTATTATTTTTTAATTACTTCTATTTTTTTCTGTCTATTTCTTGTCTTTATTGTTCACATGTAAGGCAGCTTGAATTGCCAGTACGATATCATGTTCCATATAACCTTCCTTGCTTATTCCTAGCTCATCGTTGATTTTGTCTTTCTCAGCAACAGGCAGTGTGACATAACGAAATATTATCCTCGTTAAGTCTGAGCCCATTTGGAACTGTTTTATATTCAATCTTCAGTTCTGACAGTACTGTGCTGGACTGATTTATCTCTCTCATAAGGAAGAACAGACATTAGGTCCTGTTATCAGACCTTGCTCTAACTGAAGAATATCAAGACCAGATCGAGACTGAGCTGCTTATGGTTTTACAGTTCAGAATAATAGCTACCCAGTCTTTCTGTCCAGAATACTGCTTATTTCCCTATTTTATAACACACAATAAACCGCATAATCATGGCTCATGAATATTAATTAGATGGCAGATCATTTTTCACCTACTTAATATTCAGTAGACTTAACTAAAAGGCAGGTAATTAGGCGCAAGTGGCCTTTGGGGTTATTCAATATATGTGTGTTTATATATATATATATATATATATATATATATATATGTATGTGTATATTTATTTATATATATATATATATATATATATATATATATTTATATGTGTGTGTATATATATATATTAAAAAATATATATATATATATATATATATTAATATGTGTGTGTGCGTGTATATATAAATATATATTTATATATATATATATATATATATATATATATGAAGAGTTCAGATGCAAAAGCCTCTAAATGCCATTTGAAATTTTCTTCTAAAAAGACCATTTTTATCAAGCTTGTATATTTAAGTTCAGCAATTTCACTTAAATGACAATTAATAGGTAATCTTCATTGTCATTTAAGTGCAATTACTGAACTTAAATATACTAGCTTGATAAAATGATCATTCTAGAAGAAAATTTCAAATGGCATTTAGAGGCTTTTGCATCTGAACTCTTCATATATATATATATATATATATATATATATGTTCCCTAGGAATGAAACCCATGACCATGTTTAACCAATAGTTACAAAAATACATTTCTCACTTTTATCACAACATATATTTAAATGTGTGACCAGAAATATGGATTTCCAGCAGGATTGTAAATCTAAAGAACTTTTGATAGCTGAATGTGACCGATTGTGTGTGTGTGTGTGTGTCTTCTAGGCTGAAGAGCAAGAAGAGACTCTAGTGAAGACACAGGCTGATTTTTCCATCTACCGAGCCACTCACATCCACTCCAACTCAGACTACGAATCCCAGCTGTCCCGCGTTCAGGAACTAGAGCAGGTGAGTGTCGCACTGTCTTTGTAGTTGAGAAAAACGCCACATGCTACACTCACATCTGCATGAATCCATCACTGTAATCTCTGCCTGTTGCAAAAATGGGCTTTAAATAGACCCACCTGCTCCCCGTGTCACACGTTACTGTATTCATTGACACTGTGCAACTCGGGGGCTATTTATCAGTCATGAGCTGAGGCTTTGATTGGATCCGGAGAGGCTTCGTGCAAGTTCATTGCCACCTTTGTGACTAATTGTTTGTTATGTCAGCGTGGCAGCCAGCCATCCAGCTTTAATGGAGTGTAGTGGAGCGATCCATCAGGCTGTCAGAGAGCTCGCACGTCAGCCCGAGTGTCAGCGGTTCGTCGCACTCTACGCAAACGGCGACGTGATTTAGTGCCCTCCTCGCGCCACTGCCCACCCGCTCCCCGTTCTCAGATTGATTACCCTCCGGTCCCGCTGACAGTGCCCGCCATCTTCTGGCAACCTTTTAGCAGAGTTTTATAGATGATTCCAGCACCTCGTTTGGCTATTTATACATCTGTAAGTGGCCATGAAATATAGATTTGTCTTGACACATGTTCGAGTTGGAGTGGCGAGTCCTGGCGCCTCGTGACACCTCGTTATTTTAATGGTGCCAAACGAAGGGCCCCCGACCTTGCCCGTGTTTGCAGATTATGCCCGTACTTTATTAGTTTCGCAATCAGATCCCGTTTGCACACAGCAGACGAGAGCATGGTATGTGTTACCCGCACCGTTGTGACACACACAGCTTCCGCTGTCAGGTAATTAAGAGATGGCAGAGCATCCCAGAGACTTAATTGAATGGTTAGCGTGTCACAAGCGCATGCCGGCGGATTGGAGGCGACACCTGTCACTTGTGTCGCAACCTCGGCAGGCGCATGTGTGTACGTGCCGCAGTGAGGATGCTAAATGAAGGCCAGGTTGGAGTGGAAGAGGCTAGCGGAAGCAGCCGGCGTAGCGATAGCCTTAGTGATGGAGACAGCTTGGGGGATTCTTATCCACCTTAGGTTGGCCCCTCCAGCGCCCCGGGCATCAACACGACTCCCCCAAGGCACAGTCACAGAAGTTTGACAGCTGTGTGACGACTTGGCATGTTAGTGGAGGTGTGTATGTGTTTGTCCTCAGGCACTGTTCCAGTCGCTGGAGCGCTGCGGTCAGAGCGCACAGGAGATGCGGGTCTGCCAGCTGGAGTTGGAGCGACACCGACAATACAGTCCGGCAGGTGAGTGAACTCGCTAACTCAGTGGCTACGTTTACTTGCAACCAAATAATCCATTAGTAAACGGATTCAATCGGGCTGAAAAGACTCCACTTAAAGGAATAGTTCACGTAAAAACTAAAATTCTGTCAGTAATTACTCACCCTCATGTTGTTCCAACCCCGTAAAACCTTCGTTCATCTTCGGAAAACGAATTAAAGGGTTAGTTCACCCAAAAATGAAAATTCTGACAGTATTTACTCACCCTCATGTTGTTCCAAACCTCTATGTATTTATTTGTTCTGCTTAAGATATTTGGAAGAATGTTTTAATCAAACAGATCTCATTCCCCATTGACTACCATAGTAGGAAAAAATACATACTATGGTAGTCAATGGGGAATGAGATCTGTTTGATTAAAACATTCTTCCAAATATCTTCCTTTGTGTTCAGCAGAACAAATAAACACATAGAGGTTTGGAACAACATGAGGGTGAGCAAATACTGTCAGAATTTTCATTTTTGGGTGAACTAACCCTTTAAGAGAGCTGGATCACTCCTCCATAGGCTTCTTCAGGGATTGAAACTTGTTCCCCGAAAAGTTATTAAAGACATCGTTAAAATAGTCAGAGTGACTACAGTGGCTCAATCTTAAGTTCATCAAGCGACGAGAATACTTTTTGTGCGAAAAAAAATAAAATAACGATTTTTATTTCAACTATTCATTCCTTCTCTGTAGGCCTCAAGTGAGTTCACTAGTGTTACAGCGTAAGCTTCTGTTGTTGTACCTCACACGCATCACAAACATGACCAGCGTCGGCCAATAGTGAGCCTACGTGTGACATAGCTTTATGCAATTACACTACGTTAACTGACTAGAGGCCCACAGAGAAGTAAATGAATAGTTGAAATAAAGTCGTTATTTTTGTTTGTTTTTGCGCTCAAAACGTATTCTCGTCGCTTGATAAACATAAGATTGAGTCTCTGTAGTCACTTGGACTATTTTAACGATATCTTTAACAACTTTTCGGGGCCGGCAAGCCTCAATTCCTCAAGAAGCCTATGGACTAGTATGGAGGAGGGATCCAGCTCTCAGATTTCATCAAAAATATCTTCATTTGTGTTCCGAAGATGAACGAAGGTCTTACGGGGTTGGAACAACATGAGGGTGAGTAAATGTTGACAGAATTTTCATTTTTGGGTGAACTATCCCTTTAATCGATGAATCAATTGAAATTTCGATCGGATTGAAATGGGTGGTTTATTTCTTTTCTAACCTGATCGAAAAAACATGTAAACACTTGATCGGATTGAAAAAGGAAACTGAAAGGATTGCGCATGTGCAATGACGTTAAAGGGATAGTTCACCCAAAAATGAAAATTAAGTCATTAATTACTCACCCTTATGCTGTACCAACCCCGTAAGACCTTCGTTCGTCTTCGGAACACAAATGAAGATATGTTTGATTAAATTTGAGAGGTGGATCACTGCTACATAGGCTGCCTAAGGGATTGAAACTTGACTGCCCAGAAAGATAATGAAGAAATGTTTAAATATTCCATGTGACAACAGTGGCTCAAGTATAAGTTTAGCGAGCGACGTGAAAAATTTTTGTGCCAAAAAAAAAAAACAAAAATAACGACTTCATTTGATTATTGCTTTTCTTCCTTGTAGGCCTGAGACGAGAGTTCAACAGATTGCCTCAAAAAAAAAGTATTCTCGTTACTTGATAAACTTATACTTGAGCCACTGTTGTCACATGGAATATTTAAACATTTTCTTCATTGACTTTCTGGGCCGTCAAGTTTCAATCCCTTAGGCAGCCTATATGTAGCAGTGATCCACCTCTCAAATTGAATCCAAAATACCTTAATTTGTGTTCCGAAGACGAACGAAGGTCTTACGGGGTTGGTACAACATGGGGGTGAGTAATTAATGACTTAATTTTCATTTTTGGATGAACTAACCTTTAAAATAGCGTTGTGACGCGTGGAATTAAGCTGTTGAATAAAGTGTCATAATAGTGTCCCGTCATTCTAAAATTGTCCTTTTTCCCAGTGTCTGTGAAGTACAACAGATGTAAACGGATTCACACAACAAAAGTTGTGCATGTAAATAGCCACTTCCTCGCTCGATTCTACCACAGATTCTGATCAGCTGTGTGTTGCAGAGATGCAGCGACTGCAGGAGCAGGTGAAGAAGCTCCAGGCGGATGCAGCGGACGAGGGCCGGAGACGAGCACAAGCTGATACTCTGGAGCTGAAGGTAGCCAATCTGGAAGAGGAACTACAGGCAGCTCAAAGGCAGTGTGACCAAGGTAAACAGTAACAACACACACCTCACAGGTGCAGATCAGAAACGCTTTGGCCTCTGGCAGAATCTCAACAGCCACTCTCTCTCAGGCTATCCAGAAGAGAGACGCCCTACTGAGACAGTCCGAGGCTGATCTTCTGCAAGCGCGGGAGAAGATCCGAAGCAGGGCGGCAGAGGCTCGAGGGCTGGAAGCTGATCTGCAGAGAGCCAAGAAAAGAGAAAAGGCAGAGGGAGAAAGAGTGTGTATCACTCAAAACACAGCTGCTTCAGCTCAGAGAACAACTGAAGGAGGCTCACACCACTTGCAGAGACACGGGTAACAGTGCAACACCACATGGTGGACGGCCACGATGTGAATTATTGTAAATATATGCTTTATTTGATATCTTCGAAAGATTCTTACCTGAAACTGCAAATGCAGCAGCCCCGAAAAGTTCTAAAGCCATCCTTAAAATGAAATCCAAGTGGCAATCATTTTAATCTCATGGCAAAACATTTCACAAAAAAGTGACTGATTTACTGTCCTGACACTTTCGTGTTGCCATACGCTACTGGAGTGTGTTTATAGTTTATGTCATGAACTACACATGTGGTCACTCTACTAAAACCACCTTGGCACCAGTTGATTAATAGTTATTAATAAAATGGCTAAAAAAAGTCAAGTTTTTACTGAAAAAGCTTGTTTGTTTACAAGTGCCACTTGGATTTTTTTCATAGATTAAGTGCAACTTAAAGGGATAAGTAGGGCCTGTGCCTACTCAAAAATGACAATTCTGTTATTAATTACTCGCCCCCATTTTGTTCCAAACCCATAAGATATTTTATCTGAGAGATTGAAAAAGACAGACAATAAAAGTAATCAAATGAATCGAGTGCTTGAATCCAAGTCTTATGAATAGACACGATGCTTTATATATGAAAAACAGATGCAATACATACAAAATTGTCAAATACTGGAAACAGAAGCTCAGAAGTGCTTTGCTTATCAACCATTGAAAATTCATGCTGGTACAATTTGGTCATTTAAGCAGGACAATGATTTTTCTCTTGATTTTGCAAGAGAAAAGCAATTGCATTTAAATCTGT